CAACATCCCCCGTCTTGTACTTACTTATAAAAACTCATAAGTTAGTATCCAGCGATGATCTTGCGCCTACCGATCCATCACTATTTAAGGTTAGACCTATCATTAGCTGCGTAGACGGGCCAACGGACAGGATAACATTGTTTTTAACCCTGATATTTAACCAGTTGTTGAAACACATTCCAGCCCATCTTACGAATACCCAGATGTTTCTGGATCGTCTACGTACTGCGCAGCCCAACAGCGCGTTCGGGATGGAGTCCCCCGACGTTACCGCCCTTTATACAAACCTGTCGAATGACTCCGCAATGCAAGCCATATTCGAACTCTTTACACAACACGAAGGAAAAACAAACATGTATAGCTTCAAGATAGAGCACCTGATGACACTCTTAAAAGAATGCTTGAGCTGCTCAATCTTCAGATGGGCCGGAAAGTACTACGCTCAAATAAGAGAGTTGGCAATGGGACAACGACTGGCTCCAAGCCTTGCCATAGCATTTATGTCTAAGGTGGAAGCACCGGTGATCGATCTCGGGCCGCTACTCTACTGTAAATATATAGATGACTGTTTTGTCCTTTGCTCAACACAACAGGAAATGGACAAATGTTTCGAGTTGTTAAATGCACAGTCAGAGTATATCAAGTTCACCCGAGAGAAGCCGAAAGATAAATGGCTTCCATTCCTGAACGTCCAAATTCACCTGTCAGAAAATGGCTACATTACAGTGGTACCGAAAACCAAGTAGTAAAAATATCCTGGTTCATTACCTCTCCTCTCATCCCTCTCACACGAAAAGGGCGCTTGTGAAAAAAATGCAGCGTGTGCACAGGAAGACAACAGAGAGAGGAGTCCCGGAACTTGGCGCGGCAAATAGCCATTTTTAATGGCTACGAAACCGTAGCTCAAGAAAGGTGTAGAGGAAACCACAGGCAGCCCCAACGATAACTCTAGCGACAGCAAGGTCCCGTTTATACTGCCCTTTATTTCAAATTAAGTAAGTGCAACTATAAAACGCTGTTTAAGAAGGCGGAAGAAGAGAATTCGGTAACAATAATCGAAATACCACCGAATAATCTAAGGCGCCAGCTAGTTCGTAACCGCCTATACGACCGTCTATGTGCAACGCAAAATTGCATAATTGGCTCCAATGGTAGAGACGGTAACTGCATGTGTTCGGGCACAGTCTATCTGATCTCCTGTAAAGCGTGCGGAGACGAATACGTTGGCGAAACGGGTAGGCCACTCTGCGTACGTATAAAAGAACACCTAGTCGGCAAACGTAAGCTAAGTACTCCACTGGGTACGCATTGCACGCAGAAACATTACGGAGAAGATTTTGAAGTAAGGGTTACGATCCTTGCGCAAGAATCGAGAACACAAGCGCGCAAAACTCTAGAGGCATTCTGGATAAATTCCAAGAATCCGAAAATGAACCGCAGGGAGGAATGCCTCGTTATCACGCGTGATATTGGACAGTATATAAACCTGTTATTCTGATCGGAGGGGCACATTACGCTTCCATCTGAATTCTGTGCGGTCGGTCTTCACGCGACATACTCAGTGGAAGACTCATAGAAAGCGGTGAGTTTGCAGAGCTATGCTAAATGTGATTGAAATCTTGGTTTAGAGTTTTCTCTGTTTGGTTATGGAGGTGGTTGGCCGAGTGGATTGCTGTCAACTTGACCCTTCCAGGCTCTGAGGAAGGCGAAATCCGCCGAAACGTCAGCTTGTGCGTAAATAAAGAAATAAAACAGCACCTCGTGTTTGCTGAACAGAAGTAGAAAGATATATCATTTTAATATTTAAATAAGTATGAGGACGAATGGATCGGCGGAAGTCCTTTAGCAGAACTCAAATTTCTATTCGTTGGTTAAAGAGAAATAGATCCTTTGGTTTACAGTTTTCATCGGCTTTAGCAGCCAATTCCGCTTATGACAGGTAGCAATTAACTCAGAATATGTAGTGCTTATTAGAACACATTGGCAAGAAGGTGATTCAGTAGAATCGTCATGAGTTGGTCATCATTCAATATTCCAACTTCAAAACTAGTGAAATGACTGAGAGATTTCTGAGGAATTCTACGAGGAAACAGTTCGATATGTGAAGTACTTTAGCAAGGCGTTGACATCGAATTCAGTCTAGCTCCTAGTCTTAGCTTTTTCGTCATAACACAAAGCGAGACAATGCGAAGAAACGTTGATGCGATAAAAAGCAAACAAACTCGATGGCAATGCAGATAATTGGATACGATAATGGATAAAGCGTTCGGCATTGATCCATACCTAAAGCAAGCCTCAAGCATCCTGTTCAGTTCAGCATCCTAGAGGTGGTTAAGTGCATCACTGGCTCTCTTACGGTGCCTTTGTGATATGTCGAACTAGTTTTTTCACCCTCCTTAAAGAGATACAGGCTCTCATTTGACCACGGAACAATGAAGGCTTGGATAAACGTTTGCATAAGGAATCTTCCAAAATTATAGGCAAAACAGTGAACCAAATCCGCTACCATCTGGTGTTCTTCATCGCCCCATTCGCATCTGAATTCGAATTTTCAACTTTCTTTATAGTTTGCTCTTTTCTTGGTAAGCACACACGAGATTATCGCTGCACTAATTATTTATCAACAAAGCTAAGGCCTTGGTTCGCCTTCCGCAAAGCCCGGAGAGTTCAAGTAGGCAACAAACTAGTCAGCCAAATGCCTCCACTTCCTCAACAGAAAACCAGAAAACGAAACCTCAATCGTACTAGAAACAAAACAATATTTTCTCACATTCGCCTTCCCTGTGAGCTTTTCAGTGAGTATTCCACGTGGTGACCAACTGTATAGAGTTTACATGTATGGGTAATGCACCGCTTCTGCGTTAAACTATCACTCTAAGATATTGTGTGAGATCACACATGATAAAGAGTCAATTCTCTCCTTTTGGCTTATTTTTGGATTACTGGAATCTATCAGGAATGCTTCAAGGGTTTTACGCACCGGACAAGCAGGCGGTACAATAGTTTTGGATCTAAGAGAATTGTCACTTCTACTTCACATTCTCCGTTATGTGTCTGTGTCCTATGCGCACTTTCTGAAGAAGCATTTTGTTTCACTATACACTTGCCGTCTACCCGTTCTTTTATTATACGGACGCAGAGTGGCCTACTCGTTTCGCTAACGTATTTGTCTCCACATTCTCTACAAGAGATCGGGCACACTGTACTCGAACTCACGCAATCACCTTCTCTATAGTTAGGGGAAATAATAAAACTTTGCATTGTTCATTGACATCGATGCAAACGGTTCCGATCTAGTTGGCGTCTTAGACTGTTCGGTGGTAATTCAGTCACTTTTACTGATTTCTCTAAACCGGCTGTTTTTAAGGAACGTTTTATATCTGTGCCCATCTCGTTGTAAATGAAGAGGAGGATAAAAGAGACCCTATTCTCGCTATATGTTCTTTTGGGGGCATAGTTCTTCTTCCAAACATATCCAAAGGAGGAGTCAGTCTACCGAGCCATCGTAGCTGTTAGAAACTGCTGTTTGCCGCACGAATTTCCGGGATTCCTTCTTCTGCTCTCACGCAGTGATGGCTATTCGAAACATGCTTCTCACAAATTTCCGTGTGACCAACGACAGAAAGGCAATGAGCCAGTATGTTTTCTACTTCGTTTCGGCACCAGTTGATGGTGTAGCCGTGAACTTGAGCGTTCAAAAATGGAAGCTAGTTTCTTTCTGTTTCTCTCGGATAGCTTTTATATGCTCTGGCCGTTGTTTTAGCAATTCAAAACACTTGTCCATCTTCTTTTATGTTCAGCAGACGACAAAACAATCATCTATTTTCGGCTAACGTTTCGACGCCTTCGTCTTCATCAGAGCCGATGATCCGAGTCGATATCCACGCTTGTTATTCGTCTCGACATGGTGGCTTCGCCTTCGTGTCGGGTCAGGTCTTCCTCAGCGGGCCATCTCCTCGAATGAGGTATACTTACTTGGTGATGCCCTTTTATACACGATGCTGATGGTCGATATAACGATAATGGCCGGTCATAACAACTTGTTGTTCTTCCGGACATTGCATCGTGCAGATGTCGGTGTTATTATCAGCTAGTACAAAGCATAGTAATATTTCGAAACCGACTTCGCTTTAACCTCGGTGTGACTAATCAATATGTATTCTTTCTTGATGAGCTTACGCGAGGTTGATAAACATATTTATTTTCGGCTAACGTTTCGACGTCTTCATCAGAGCCGATGCGGTGCGGTGCAGTGTGGTGCGGTGCGTGTATGAAAGGGCATCACCAAGTGAGTATGCCTCATTCGAGGAGATGGCCCGCTGAGGAAGACCTGACTCGACATGAAGGCGAAGCCGCCAAATCGAGACGAATAACAAGCGTGGACATCGACTCGGATCATCGGCTCTGATGAAGACGAAGACGTCGAAACGATGCCGTTGCTCCTGAAATTAGCCGATGTGTTATTATCAGCTTAATATAATATTATTAATATAAATATATTTATCAATCTCGCGTAAGCTCATCAAGAAAGAATACATATTGATTAGTCATACCGAGGTTGAAGGAAGGTCGGTTTCGAAATATTACAATCATCTATATATCCACACTAGATTAATGGCAAGAGATGGATTACTGGAGCTTTTAATTTAGGGACAATGGGACAGCGATTAACACCAAGCGTCGCCATTGCATTTGTGTTTAGAATAGAAGCTCCATCAATCGATCTCCGACCGTTTAGATATATATATAGATGACTGTTTTGCCATCTGCTTGACACAAGAGGAGATGAAGAAATGTTTCAAGTTGTTGAATGAACAGTCAGAGTACATAAAATTTCCCTAAGAAGAACCGAATCAAAATTGCCTTCCATTTCCGAACGCTCAAATTAAATTCTCAAAACGGCTCCATCACGAAATGATACCAAGAGCTAAGTAACAAAACATACTGGTTCACCTTTACCTTCGACCTTCACACATAAAAAAAAGGCGCTTGCGAGAAACATGTTTCGAACAGCCACCGGTGTGTGCATACGAAGAGAGCAGGAAGAATCTCTGAACTTAGCACGGAAAATAGCCATTTCTAATGGCTACGAAACGGTGATAGCTCCTCAGGATAGGTCTAGAAGAAGAGTTGTACCTCCAAACGGTATTTATAGAAAGAATAAGGTTCCGCTTGTCCTGGCTTTCTTTTCCAACAAAGTAAGGCAATCTATAAAAGTTCCTTAAAAAGGACCGGTCGCTTTAGAAAAATCGATAGCACTGATTGAAATGCTAACGAACACTCTGAGACGCCAGCGATTTCAATACCATACGTGCTTATTAATAAAACAGCGATTTATTGATCATTTTCGAGGTTAATAAAAAGTTAATAATTCCCACGTCCGACTTTCTATTAACCTCGGCATTGATTAAACAATTCTTTCCACTTCTGTTCAGCAAACACAAGGTGCTATTTTATTTCTTTATTTACGTAAAAGCTGACGTTTCGGCGGATTTCGCCTTCCTCAGAGCCGCTTTCTATGAGTCTTCCACTGAGTATGTCGTGTGAAGACCAACCGCACAGAATTCACATGGAAGCGTAATGTTGAATTGTTAAAAAGTCAGTCTCGAGAATTCATGTATAGTACTGGAGTCAAATTTGACAAGGTTTTATTGGATCACGATGCAAACCAATCTTTCGCTTTGTAGATCGCAAGTGCTCGGATTGCTACGACTTTTGTCTGCCAGATTACGGTATCGAGCGTGATTCGATGCAGGGAGAAGAGCACCTGAACATCATCAAAAGGATCTGTTTCTATTTGTTTGTGCCTGAATGGCGGACGTACGCACAGGCGAACTCTATTGAACAGGTAGGAATTACTTAGGCACTGAAATTCCCTTTTACGAGAAGAAGTAAAAATGAAAACTTATTTTTCTTAGATGAATTGGAAGCTGATTTTTCAGATCGGCTCTGCAGACACAAATGAAACTAGCCTGCAGTTTGTATCTATAATTATGCTTTTTTGCACTATTTATAGAACCAACGCGACTTTGAGACATACTACCGGAACCGGAATCATCTTACTACGGCATATGGCAGTAATGGAGGAAGCGACTCAAAATGGATCACTCTTCAACAATTGCCACGTGAGTCTACTTGTCAGTGATTTTCTTCGTATTTTTGTTGAGCAAACGCGAGGTGTTATTATTCTTTGTTCACGATTAAGCTGACGTTTCGGCGGATTTCGCCTTCCTCAGAGCCACTTCCTATGAGGTTTCCACTAAGTATGTCACGCATAGACCAACCGCACAGAAATCACGTGGAAGTATAATGTACTTATACTTACTTATGTATAAGTAAGTATAAGTATATGTATATATATATATAAGTATAAGTAAGTGTAAGTACATGTATACTTATGTATAAGTAAGTAAGTAAGTATAAGTACATTATACTTCCACGTGATTTCTGTGCGGTTGGTCTCTGGGTGACATACTTAGTGAAAACCTCATAGGAAGCGGCTCTGAGGGAGGCGAAATCCGCCGAAACGTCAGCTTAATCGTGAACAAAGAACAATAACACCTCGCGTTTGCTCAACAAAAATACGAAGAAAATCACTTGATCAATGCCGAGGTTAATAGAAAGTCGGTCGTGGCAGTTTCTACTTGTGAGTTTTCGTAAACTCGGCTTTTCATAACTCATTTTTAAGATCAAGTTTTCCTTGCAAACATCTCAACATCATTTTTGAGAAGTTGAATGGCGTAGTGATTAAGATAGCTTCCGAATTCATCCTGGCTTAAACGGAAGACTTTAGCTGCCTCAGAACTTTAGTCCAGAATAAAATTGATTTCTCTATTTCCATTTCAATACTAAAGTAGAAAATGAAAAGTAAAACACTATGGTTTCAACTACAGCCTCAGCTTAACTGGGTTCAACACCAGTGTGGGACCCCCAGATCAATCCCGTTGACGGCTGATTGCTGATGGCACTGATCGATATAACTAGCTGAGAGACAGGCGAAACGAAGGACCCGCATGGTGTGGTGGTGAACGCGTTAGCCTAAGGAAAGGGTGGTAGCTCGTCCGTCTCCACCGCCGACGCCTGCGGTCGGTTCGGAATTTTGCAAGTATCTCAGCAACGTTGTGGTTGTATTTCGCATATTGCCCTGCCATAAAAATTGTGGTAGGCAGAAAATAAAAAGCAAAACTAAATTAGAATTTTAGTACTGTGCCTCCTAACTTGAACATGAGGTGAATTAATGTGATTATGGGTAATGCATGTTTCTAATGCTACCGCTTTTTGCTAATCATCTTCTAGACTAAGGCACCAACGCGGTACCCAAATATGAAATAAGGAACATACAGATTTAATGTCTTAGAGTCCATGAAGGCAAGCCCCACTGAATTACAAGTTGCAAATTGACGTTCACCATACAAAGCGTTTCCGCGACATTTCTAACAGTATCATCGTCGTTTAGAAACTATACAAAATGTAACCGGAAACTTACCTGAACACCTAAACGCTGCTGCAACGAGCGTGCTGGCTGCCATCGGTGAGATGGCGCAGGGCGCGCGAGCTGGAGTCTTCGGTCGAACCAACAACGTCGAGCCAGCTCAGAACATCTACCATAACGGGAACGGCAACACTAACGCATACAACGGATTTATGCAGTAAGTCATTCACATCCGAATCGAAAATGTGCTCCATCACTGAGTGAAACTTCGGCCACAGTTGCCAAAAAGGCATCGAGTTACTTCCACAATAGCAGATCGCTGCTGGAAACAGGAGGAAAGAGGAGGCAAAAATTCTTGCCGTAATCGCTTGGTTTATCATAACCAGCAAATTTAAAAGGATTTTGTTATAATGTTACATTTAGGTTTAGGAAAAAATAATTGAAAAAAAACTTTAAAAAACGGGAAAATAACTCCGACGTGTCTAAAAAAGGCCAAAAATTTAACGAAACTTTGAAAAAGCCTAATATTAAAGAAGGCTCTAAAGAACCCAAAGTCTTTTACCGCAGAAATGAGACGCTAAGTTTAGATTCTGAGAAACGCGAAGGCCCCAGAACGTTAACCAAATAAAGTTCTTTCTTTTATCAACCTCGTGTTAGCTTATCAAGGAAAAAATACATGCTGATCGGTCATACCGGGATTAAGGGCAGGTCGCTCTTCGAAATATTGTTACGCTAACTTTAGAATCTTAGGAAATTTAGAAATTGGGGTATTTCATAGCAGATATAAAGGTGTTCGTACAAAAATATCTACATTAAAATACAATAATCTATGCAGAAGATTCTTCTTGAAATGTAGAAGCTTCGTGAACAGTGTGCATGGAAGCGTAGGAAGCCTCACAAGGATTCATATGTTTCACGTGACAGCAAAATTCAAATACAGCAGTAAGTAACAACTCTCTCATTGCCCATTTGTCTCCTACAAGCTGTCTACGAGGTCACTACGCGACCTCCACAGTAATGTTTTAGGGCCAGAACAGTCTCGAATTTAAAGGAACCAAAAAATTGGCCCATAACTTTGACCTTTTTGAAACAATAAGAAGTGATTTCATCAAGAAAAAAAGCAATTATTTTATGTCTATGCAGAAGAGATAGAAATAGTACTTCAAGCGATAACGAAAACCACATCGTATCCGTCGAAAAGTTGTGAAGGCAGCGATTGTGGGTGGCATAAATTCGACATTCCATAAGTTCTTGAGTATTTATTTTTGAAAACCACTAAAACTCGTTAGCATCGAAACTTTGCTTCTTTAGAGCGAACGTGAATGGAAATCCTTCCAATCCGGTCGGTTTTATTCCGGCGGCTGTCAATGGCGTCGTGAACATGAACGGCGTTAACGGGCACAACAGCAACACCGCTTACAGTATGAACGGCGAAACCTCAGCTGTAGGTTCTCGACAGCTCATAGCACTTAGTTTTACCCTACCACTTAAATCACTAGCCTAAACTAGTAATCACCCCCACTGTGTGATGCCCATGTTTATTGTAGAATGCGAATAAGGCAGCGGTATCCATTTTTCTCTATGAATATAAGATTCTTATATCATGAAATCCTTTGTGCTTTCGAAACGAAAAAAGTTTTTTAATATGCCCTACCACTTGTTCTGTTGTTCACCAAACAAGCAACATCTGGCCAACTTAAGGCAACTTGGTCATTTCATCATTGACTTACAAATTAACAAGAAAAAATGCAGCTCTTCATATTCTTGTTGACCAAACACATGGTGTCATTTTATTTCTTTATTTACAAGCAAGTTGACGTTTCGGTGGAATTTTCTTTTCTCAGAGCCTGGAAAGGTTAAGTTGACCGCAATCTACCCAGCAGAACACCTCCATGAGCAAACAGAAATTGCTAAACCAATACTTCGATCATATTGAACACACAATAGCTTCTTTACGCACTCATCTCTCTATGAGACTTCCACTGAATATGCCATTTAGGTGACGTCTGTGACATCTTTCTGTTTGGTTATGAAGGTGTTTGGCTGAGTAGATTGAAGTCAACTTCACCTTTCCAGGTCCTGAGGAAGGTGAAAGCCGCCGAAACGTCAGTATTGCTTGTAAATAAAGACATAAAATAACATCTCGTGTTTGCTTAACATGAATACGAAGAACCGTTCGATCAATCTCGATGTTGACAGAAAGTCGGTTGTGGGAAAAAAGTGCAGTTTTCGCTTAAAATCGGCTATTATAAAAGAATCACTGTGCGGAGAAGATGTCACTCGTTCTAGATGACCAGTGTGGATGACTTAGATCTGATAATTCTTGATAATGTTCGTTTCTCCTGCTTCGTTTTTTTAACATCAGTGTGTAGACAGTATGATTGCGCAAAGAGAAAGGTTTCCATCAGTTTTCACATAAAATAAGAACCGGCAAACGATCTGGTCAGCAAAACTCTCCGTTGCCTTTACTTTATGTGGCATAACCATATGGCTCATGCTCATAGCTTGGTCCAATTATAAGCATCCCTTTTAGAATTATGGCATCTCTGCCAACAACGGCTTTGCCGGTAAAAGTCCTTACCCATCAGACAGGTGAGACGAACCGTTATTTCGAATATAATTCTAGAAGTATTGTAGTTGTAGAAATATTTTTTCTAAAGCAGGATTTCTTGTATTTACCTATCGCAGATCCAATTTGCCACAAGGAAACATAATGGGTTACTCTCACAACGGAATTGGACAAGAATACAACGGAAACTATGGCAGCCCGAATCAAGCGAGCGATCAGCCGTAAGAGAAGCGAAGTCTTACTATTATTATTGTCACATGTGGAAAATGTGGCGTAGACTGTTTCTTAAAGGTGTCGAAAAAGATTACTGGCAAAGTACAAATCTCTTGATGAACCAAGTTTCGCCTTTAGACTCAGAATGGCATCAGCAAGGGCGAATTTAGCACTTCTGCAGCAAAAATTTGTTGGTTATGCACCTAATAACACTATACTAAAAGCCTCATGCTGGTATTTTCAGCATGGACTCCTACAGAAATAACGGCATCGGTATGATGCAAAGTTACAACGAAAGACCATTGTACTCAGGTGCAAATGTTGAGCATGGACCCTACGTTCCTCAGGCAGAACATCCTATTCAGGTAAAAAGCACTCTCTGACCTTGCTCTTTTCGATACCACAGTACAGGAGCTTCGCCTAGAGTAGCTCGCTTTAGTGAATAGAATAAGTTCTTGTATTCGTGTCTCAGTTTATTCACTTAAAACTTTCTAGGGAGTTGCCGGCATGCAACTACCTTTAGACGTCACCGGATCCCATACGGGCTATCGACCTGATATTATTCCGAATCCTCATTACCAACAGCAGCAACATCAATTGGCACAGCAACGATGGGGTTAAGGCGGCGCGACCCACACTCTGCTTCTCCGAAGGCCTTCCACTTCCGTTGTCTACCTTTTGCAGTTCCCCAGGGAAAAATTTGGTAGATTTAAGAGCTAGATTAGAATGATATAGTAAAGAAACAACAACAGAAACTCGTACTTTTCGTAATTAACCACTTCACTAGCGATTTCTACTATGATGGTACCTTCAAATCAATGCTCCTCATTTTTTCCGTTCATTAATCATACTTTTATATAATAAGACTGGATCTTTTATGAATTTGTACTATTCGCCTTTACATAGGCATCATGGACACACCTCTCCAACTGAAGAAATATATTATTAGATTGTGGGCATAGACAGAACACAGACTAACAGCCATACTGATGCTTATCATTGCTTCACATTTTTGATCAAGTCCTAATTACATCAAGTACCTCTTGAAACCATCGTCTTTCACTTTATTGGTCGAATTGTAACCAATCGTTTTGGTCGGGCACACACCTCCCATACTGCTCGGCACTCGATAACGATAACGAACTCTATTGTGTTAGGTGTAGAGTGAGTGTTCATAAACCATCATTATTCTTATTCACAGCTTATCTGGTAAAACTTCAGTGTTTTCTGCTGCTTAAAATGATGACTTTAAGTTATATCTTCACAGACAGCTCTTTTTTGCAAACTTAAATTACTAAGATTTCATAGAAAAACAAATGTAACAAAAGAGATACGAGAATATGGAAAAGTTAGACGAAATAGTGAGGATATGAAAAAAAAAACTAAACTAGCTTGATAATAATAATAATTATGAAAACGATAAGTTCTCATAAAGACTGAATGAAACATCTACAGATAACCTCCGAGGAAAGAGTAACAACAGACTGGTGCAAAAATATAAAATTACAAAAACATCCAAGAACACGAGATGTCTCCAGAAATCTTCTAATAAACCAAGTGTGAACGAAAAGTCTATGTAAGCCTAGGGAACGAGTGTTATAAATACAATCAGAAATAACCAGAACTCTGAATATTGTTTCATAAACACCGGAACCTCCGTCCACAAACGATAACAAATGACTAAATTGGAAGCCACTGCGAAAGTTTTTGCCCCGTATTGTCACAAAAATGATCCGATCCCGTAATGTATTTAATATTAATGCAATTAAAATACTGGCACCATGGACATTTCACCTCGACCCTATGATAGTACAGATAGCCGAGTATGCTGTACAGAAAACCACACAGAAACAACGCCATTACTATCGCAAGCTGAAAAAACATCAATCAAGGCCGTAACTTAAAATACAGATTAAAACCTCAAAAAACCTCATAACGTATGAGAGTAACATACATGTCTTCTCGATAACGATGACTGACATCCAAACCTAGGTTTCACGTCAGATTTGAAATCCAAATACGGGAAAGTCACTGCAACGGAATTATATTTCACTTAAAAAAAAATAACGCTTCACTTATTAGCAGCAGAAGAAAAATCTGGAAAAAGGAAAGAACTATAAGTTATTAGGGGTTTTTTTGATGAGCTCCCAAAAACCCCGTTCAAGTTGAAGACTTTGGGTTACCATGCCGGTAGCATATACATCGCCATTTGTTGCATGATAAATTAAACGTAGGTACGTAGACAAATAACTACCATATATTTGATCTACGGGCAGCCGAGCTATACGTGAGTACACCCAGCCTCCATTTCAGAGCTTAACTATACAACAAGCTATACATAGGTAGCAAACTATAAACCCAGTAAAACATACAGGTCTTATTCATGGTAGGTATAGGACGAGTACGGACAGGCTACTAAAACCTTTGGGTCATTCTGAGCTGCTTAAATAACAAAAAACTTAGGTGGCTGTAGCTGTAGCTACAATGTACGCACACTTCATTCGAGTCCTCGATAGAAGACTTGATCATGCATGCAAGAAGGACAAAATACGACATCATTGGACTGGGCAAAACGAGAAGACGCCATCAATCCAACGCCGTCTGTGAGACCGGAGAAGTGTTCCAGGAACATGCGACGAGTCGGCTGCGTGGGTGTTCTCGTTAACATGAGTTTATCTATGAACATCAATTCATTTGAACAACTAACAACCCGAATCGTAAATTTCGATTGAAAAAATGTGGATCAATACAGACTTTGACAATGTTCGTCGTTTACGCATTGACATCAAACTATGACGAAGAAATCGAAGCGTTCTATATGGACTTGGAGAAGTTCGGCAAAGAAGACCACGTATTCTTCAAAGTCATAACTGGAGATCTTAACGCTAATACTGGACCCAGAGGAACGTTTGAAACACGTCACACTGCGATGCACGGATTAGAATGGAATGAGTACGGTGAGCGGCTGAGTTTAACATTACGACCAGGAGCATTCATAGTAGCTTGCAATTCCAGAAACTCCACCCTCAACGTTGGACATGGGAGTCTCTCAATGGGGAGTACCACATAGATATAGATCACACCATAAATCGAAGGTTTTGCCCAAACTATTTCGCTCTTGTCCAAAATTCTACATAGATCAAACTTTTGCCTCCTTCGTGTCAGATTCTATTTTTCACGGGATGAAAAAAAGCTGCCCCTGGCTCATACCTCGGAAATTCGACATGCTATTTCATTTCTTCGGTAAAGAATCGAACATCACCAGGTCCGGAACGGATAGGATGTGAATACCTGAAGAGCATTCTACCAGTCCTCATAAACACACTGGCACCGCTCTTCACGTTACATGTCAGAATGCAACGTTCCTATTCAATGGATTTCTACGCACAATGGCACAAGCAGCCGGCAACCACCAACTCCTGTTCGAACATAAAAAATAGTGCGGAAGGACAAAAAAATCACAAGAACAGGATAACAACAATTATATTCGTAGCTGCAATGGCAGGGACAAGCATTCGCAAAGTTCACCGAAGCTTCGTCAATTGGAAACCAAGACAATTCCAGCTCCACGCCCAGTCGGAACAATCACAGCTACCACAAAGAATGGAGAAAATCATTCACGATTACTACTCAAATCTCTTCAACAGCCACGTCCTACTATCCTCATGTGAAATAAAGGAGGATGGATATAGATTTGAACACCTGAAGAACGTTCCGCCAGTCTTTACAAACACACTGGTTGGGCTCTCTACACATTATGTGTCAAAATGCAAGGCCCTACTCAATGGAAGACAAGCAAGAACGCGCTTTTGTTCGAGAACGGTGACCTCCACAATATCGGCAGCTGTCGTCCAATTTGCTTATGGTCTCTCGTCTACAAACTTCTTATCTGAGTCACCTTAAACAGCATTGACAGAACACTGGACGAAAAACAGCCATGTAAGCAAGCAAGGTATCGAAAAGGATTCAGTACAATGGAACACGTCCACATGAGGACAAAACTCATTAGTGTCGAGAGAGCACAAGAGACCACTCTGTCTCACACTCACAATTTAAAGCAGTATTTTGACTAAGATGACATAGAAGCAGTCATAGAAGCCCTGGACAATCAGGGAATCCCTACTCAGTATATAAAGATTCTACCTGAGCTGAATAGAAATTCCACAATGAAGATATCACCATTCCACAGCAACATTAATACCGACGTCAGCAAAGGGGTCAGGTAAGGCGATACTGTCTCGCTAAAACTATTTACCACTACCCTCGAGAACATCATGCGAACAGTAGAATGGGAAAACATGGGAGCGAAAAGTGATGGTCGGCAATTACACCAATGTTGCATTGATCATGACATCGTTCTTATAACACCAAACATTAGCCAAGCGGAACGTATGCTTGTCAACTTTGATTAAGGATGTGGAAAGATTGGTCTTCGACTAAATCTCACAATAACGATGTTCATGAAGAACGGATTGGCTTCATATGCCCCATTCACGCTCAACTGAATGAATATCTCCGAACGCTTCACTTCCATCTATTTAAGTTGGGAAATCAAAATGGTAAACGACTTAGCCCCAAAGTTGAGCAGAATGAAATGAACGGTTTGGGGAGCTTTCAAGAAAGTCAAGGATCTAGTGAAGAGAACAAAGAACACCCTCTCCCGTGATCACTTGACTCTACGAACCTTCCTGCCTTAACGTATGCGTCAGAAACTTGCTTGCTGCATAAGCAAGATGAAAGATCACTCAGCGTTATAGAAGCCACAGTCGAACGGATGATCCGAGGAGTATCCAGTGTCACAGAAGTAAAGGAAGGGATCCGAACATCCGACCTGCGTCAACGATCAAAAGTCAAAGATGCTGTTCATGTAAGCCAAACAGTCGAAGATAAGGTGGCCGGAAACGATATGCGTATGGACGGTAACCGACACACAACAGCCGTTAGCGACTGGACTCCTCGGGATGTCAAACGCACTGCAGGAAGGCCACCGACCCTATGGTCCGTGTTCTTCACGAAGACACCAGAACGGAAACACTCAAGTTCAACAAGTCTCAAGAGTGAGCAGTATCCACTAGGTTACTCTTGCACGCGACAGGGAAAAATGGAAGAATCTGGCAACCGCTAGAGTCGCTCGACAATCAGAGCAACTACAGGTGAGTAGGTATTAAAATGATCATTGTACGTCAAAAAAGAAGGAATTCACAGTAAAACATCAAGAGTATAAAAAATAAATTCTGAAGTTACCTATAGTGATCAGTAGCCCGAAGAGGAAACCAAACAAATGAGCCCAGTTGTCAATCCACGGAAGCAGACCGGTGAGAAAAAGCACAAAAACAGTCAACATATGCTTCATGAGCTCACGCCGCGGTCTCACTATGATATGTCTGAACAAAACTAGCATACTTTGTATACGAAATGAATACCATAAAAATCACCTGTGGTGGTGCAAATCCACGACAAGCGCTGCCATTATTCCTAAATGACTTCCTGATGGGCCAACTTCCGGCTATAAAGGACGTGGTTGAAATACAGAAATAATGGAATTGATAATAGTGTTACCTATTTTATGTAAAAAATTCATCGAGAAATTGTAGAAAACGGAAAAAAATAGGCAGAAGATTATAGAAATTCGGAGAAGCAATTTACACTTAATGGCTACAAATTAGAGAAGCCCTCCAATGACTACTACGTAATTTATCAAGCTTTTCTTCTACATCTACAAAAGATCGGTTTGTAGGAAACAACCTCATCCTGGATAATTAAAAAGGATAAAGTGTTCGGCTTTGATCCATCTCTAAGAGATGCGCCGTTGATTCGACTTGATTAAGCATTTTTTGAAGCGAGTGAATGCATGTCTGGGCTATACAATGACTTGCGGGTGGCCTACCGGATATATCAAGTAAGTGCTCCCATCCTCCTAAACAAGTCTGGTGCCAATTTTCCGACCCCAGAGGTATGAAAGGCTTGATGAACCTGGGCGCCGGATAAAACCAACGACCTCGTGTTTATCGCACGGAGCCTTTAGCCACTGCGTCACACGCGCCTCTCATTTTGGACAAACGATATTAACTGGAAAGTGGAAAGAATACGGCATAACTAACTTGGATAAGAAAAGGAAAACTGTCACTACAGGCACAGAACGAAAACGTACACTGTAAGGCACAAAAATCGCACTAGCAAAATTCCCTCCAATGCCAGAACCGATATATAGAATCGCCATGCGTTTCCAACCAATGAGCATCTCAAGATCAAGCATCAACCACATTTGCACAAATACCGTGAAAGCGCAATGAATGATACTGAAACAATAATAAACAACGTTGCCAATGAAACAGCAGAAAGTAGACAAAACACCACTTAAACTATACCGACTAAGTATAAATAAAACACACCCAGCGTGCAAAAACAGGGAAAGGAACATGCGGTAGAACTGATCTGGGTAATCTCGCCAAAGAAACGGAAGCATGCCACATATGTCGGAAAAGCAATTGACCTAAATTAGTAAAGAAAAATTCAAAAGTGTTCACTATAGCTGGATTTCCTTAGAGAAGATAATCTGGATTTGGGCACAATATTTCAAAGACTTTCATAAATCACTTGGATACCTGGAAGGCCCATCCTCACTGGTTGTGCTGGGCCCATCTCGTAGTCAGCCAGGTCAAATTCTGCCCCAGGTCGACACCACCGCAGGCAGTCGCCGACCTTGTGGATCAGAGAGAGATTTACCACCATGCGACTAGTTTGGTACAACGACAGTGACGGATCCTGATACTGACTTACTCCTAGCTGGGTTTGCTGATGGAAACGCCGGACTCCTTTTCAGCTTGGGAGACCCCACCATGGGGATGAATCCCCCGCTGTACATCATAGCCCGACAGCCAGGAACACCTTCCAGACAAGATGAGGCGGTAAACCGTTGGTAAGCTTCAATACATTACGCAACACTAAACGTTTGGACTGATTGTGTCCCACAAGAAGTGGATAAATAGGTACAGAGTGAAATTTATATTTAGTTCAGTGAATTTTGTAACTGAAAACAAATGTCGGAATTATCTCTAATGTACTATGTTTTATTTTTGCCGAACAACTAATTACGTACGGAGAGTTGGTCAATCACCACTTATACAATCCTACCTCTAACCAAACCACTATACGTGTGTTATGAAGACCAATAACGGTAAAAGCTAAAATGAAGCAGCATTTATAACTTAAAAAATTGGAAAAAATTGTGGTATATCATTAAGCATTAACTAACCTGGCTGCATAATGTCGCATTCTCGTGAAAATGTCCTTTCACAAAATCACAATATTCACGAGTTGCTATACGACATTGGCCTTGCATTTGAATGCAACAAGGACGACCAGTCACCTCAACATGAACACTAGTCATTTATTAAAAGGCATTAACGAAAACGAAAACATAAAGCTAAAGGATAAAGCTCTCGGCGTTGATCAATCCCTGAGAGTTGCGCCATGTATTAGATTTCACTAAGCATCGTCTGGTAACCGAATGCAAGTCTGGTCTTTACAATGACTCGCGGTGTCCTACCAATGTATTGAGCCAGTGCTACTCTCCTTCCAGACTAGTTTGCTACCAATTTGCTGATCCCGGAGGGATAGAAGGTTTGGTGAGCTACGGGCGTGGGGATCGTTCCCATGGGTTCTGCAGGGCGCCTCCGACCATTGCGCCACACACGTCTTAAAACGAAAACATGCGCACGGAAAATTATGTATTACTCACCTGGCATGTCATATGAGCTGGTAAGAAAGCACCTTGACGAGGTTCATCACATATCTGAACAAAAAATAATCGCGAAAAGAAAAAAAAACATGGAATTATGAAGGCCAGTGATTGATAGTTTCACAGTGGTAAGTGGTTGTTCGGTGGTGTTGAGCTGAGATATATAGCAACTGGTTGAATATCTAACAGAGACATACCAACTAATACAGAGCTCGACATTTCTACACGAAACCCTAACTAGTAATAAACAGTGGTAGTAACTCACTGTTATAAAAAGAGACCCATTCGCTCAACCGAAAATTTGCTTTCGATACAGCAAAACTGAGGGCCACCTGAGAATACTTGGGAATGGCTTGGCACGGATTTCTCAGAACTACAAAGAAAGAACTTGCAAAACCAGCAACACTATAGTTCAAGAGGAAATAAAATTGCTTACGTATAAAATTCTTCGTGAAAACAAGTCAGTCAATTGTAAGCGTGAAAAAATCAAGAAAAGAGATTGATTTGCAAATTTTGTTTGATAAACAAAATCTTTTCATACCTTAACTGTGGTCTTGCCAGCTAATGTTATTATTTTGAATTGCACTAGCAAGCTTTCAGTTAAAATAAAATAAAAACCAATAAAATTTGCTTAGCAAAGGTTAACAAATACAACCTACCGGCCATCGTGTCAGGTCATCAGGCCATTCGTATGGTCTAACCGATGATGGACGTTTGCAGAAACTAAAAAGATATATCTCGACGACATTCGAGCGTAAATGGCACGTAAATGGGAAGCTGAAAGTAGCTAAAAATGAAGAGTAATTCTGCCACTTTATCATATTCCATTTCAATCAAGACTTCTGGAACCGAATCCATTACAATGAAGCCTAGGAATATGATTAATTCTTTAGCACAAATTGTTACGAATAATGCCAAAGAGTGAGCAGTTCAAAATGGCCCATAGAGACACTGTGCAGGAGAACATCTGTTATACACAGTAGAACGAAAGGAAATCGGAATGAATGAACTCACTCCGGATCTTGTCCGCATACGGCCCCAGCTGTTCTCCAAGAATGGCTAGAAACTGCAGGCAGGGTCGAACCACGACGGCGTGAGGAGGTGTTCTAAATACAACTGTTAACGTGAAAAGCCTAGAAAATTGGATATATCTCAAAATAGACAATGTTTGCAACTACACTTAAAATTCATAGTCTTTTCCCAAAAATACACAAAAAAGCTTCTCGAGATACATTACCAACATTTCGGGTGGCGTCCAGTAATGACGAGTCGGATTTTGATCTAGTGAGGGAAGGAATGGTTGGTTTAGACCATTTATGCCATGTGGCCAACGAATGCTGAAAATTTAGTTAATATATTGCTTACGGATTCGTTAACTAAAGACAAGAATGTGTATTTGCTGGACTGCAAGCGCCATTGCACAGAGAATAGTTCACACGCTCGTACAAATTGCTAGTGGGTTATGAATATTGTAGCGAACCTTCGTGAGGTTACAACAACCTCTCTTTCTTCGCATGCAAACAATACCATAGCTGATAATGCTAACTGTACCCACCGGACAGCTTGACTGTCTTGTTTGGTAACATCCCGTCCGATCATTGAACACACAGCATCCCGTCACATTCTCTTTCCTCCGCTCCTCCTCTATTAACCTCCACAATCCAGGTTCCCGTCGCATGCAAGGTGAATACTTGGCTCCCAGTCGTATTAAATCTGCCTGAAAAACAGACGCTCTAGAATATAGACATAATTGAAAAACATAGACAAGTCTTACGAATCTGGGCCCGATCCAATGGTTTACGGGTTCGTAATAGCTAACTTGTCGCATAACTAAAGAGACGTCGACGACCTCTCCCTTCATCTCCACTCTCTCCCAGCCTACTGGTCCAAGACCATAGAATAATAAGGAGACAATGCAAACAAGCACCTGCACTAGTGTTACCCACCAGGTAAAGAGCGGCCTGGAAAAAACGTTATAATTGCTCACCTAAAGAAAACGATTAGTGAAGAAAATGGTTGTACACAGGATTAAAGCTAATACACGACGACAACCAAGTTTAGGGGGCTGCCGCGTCGGACGAGAAATTTTTTGATACATACATATAGATATATATATATATATATGCATACATATGTATGTATGTGTAATGTACACGTATATATACATACATATATGCGAAATACATGAACTCAGTGTATAGCGGCCGAAGTAGCTTCTCACAAAAAGGAGATCCCGCCGCCCTTTGTTCTCGCCTTTTAATGTCCTTTATACAATTTATTTGTTAATAGTATGTTTATATTCAATTTTGTACACATATTCCATATACTCATGCGTGATTTTCTATACCTATTTCCTACTGCCGTAAAAAAAACTCGTTCCACTTCTAGTTGATCATAAGGAACTCTTCCCTAAGGGTTATTTTTGAGCATATGTAATACATCCAAAGTATTTTGCGTGCCTACTTTTTAGATTCCTGTGTGAGTATAGTGACTTTTACTTCAAATTATCCTCCGTTATGTTCTTGTCCCTGTACGTGCTTAGTGGAGTATTTGGTTTAACTTTAAAATCAGTGATAAGATGTTTTTATATAGACGCACAGTAGTCTACTTGTTTCGCCAAATCATTCGTACCCGCACGCTTTACAAAAGACCACATATAGCACACCCGAACTCCTGCAATTACCATCTCCACCACCAGGGTATATTATGTAATTTTCTGTTTTATAAAGAGCGTCATTGGGTCATCCAAGCAATTAAGAACTAGACGACGTTTTAAAGTCTTCAGTGATAATATTCCAATCACTGCTATCGAATTCTCTATACAAGCACTTTTTAAGCTCTGCATCATAGCTGTGCTTACTTTTCGACCTGAGCCAGAGACATTTGTCACCTATGTAGAACTCTGTGCAGCTGGTTTCCACCAAACAGTTGGAAGACTTATAAATAACAAGATAGTGAGTTTAAGTTTTTATTTACTGCTCAATTTTATTACTCCTATTAATTCTATTCATAAACAGAAATATAACTTCAACGATGCTGAGATATTTGCAAAACTCCGGACCGCAGGTGTCTGCGGTGGGAACGAACGCGCTATTTTCCTTTCCGGGGGCTAACGCGCTCACCACCACACTATGCGGGTCCTTCTAATGGCAGAGATCGATACAACTAACTGAGAGACAGGCGAAACGAAGGACCGGCATGGTGTGGTGGTGAACGCGTTACTCCCCGGAAAGAACAATAGCGCGTTCATTCCCCACCGCAGACACCTGCGGTCCGGAGTTTTGCAAATATCTCAGCATCTTTGAAGTTATATTTCGCATTATAGCCTGCCATTAAAAATAGTGGGCAGTAAATAAAACGGTTAAGATTGTAATTATAACTAATGCCTCAACTTAACTGGGATCATTGTCTATTTGGAGTCCCTAGATCAATCCCGCTAACGGGTGAATGCTGACGGCAAAGATCCATAAAGAGAAAGTTAAATAGTGTGATTAGAATGCAGCTTCAACGGTTTACCGCCTCACCGCGGCTGGGAGGTGCTCCTGGGTGTCGGACTGCGATGCACAGCTGAGAATTCATACTCCTGGCAGGGTCTCCCATGCTGAGGAGGTTTGGCGTTTCTACCAGGAAGCGCAGCTGCGAGTAAACCAGTACTAGGATCCACCACCGTCTTGGAATCAGTCGCATGGTGGCAAATCTCCCTCTGATCCACAAAGACGCCGACTGCCTGTGGTGTTGGCGACCTGGGGTTAACTTTGGTCATGCTGACCCCGGGACTTCAGGAAAGCACAATGATTAAACTAGCAAGATTTCGGTTTCATTACTCTACACACTAGGAATTCTACGATGTCGGACGGTGAGACAGGCGCTAAGAGGTAATCAAATCTCCAGTTGCACAAGATGCCACTGAAAATAGGCAAAACGGGCACGCCCAGGACATGCTATAGAGACTGCAACGTCCTGTACACCTACAATGCTAGAACAGCCTGTTCGGACGCCGACCTTCACGCTCTTCTTGAGGCCACCGATCGTGTCAAATTCCTTATGATCGTCGTAAAAAAGATGAAAAGTAGAAAGATCGAAACACGCCAATTAGATGTAGCCCTTATCATTCGTGAAGGAAATTTTCTGTTGCAAAGGGTTAGAGGCGTTTTAGTTGTTGTACACTCATGTATTTCCTATCTAGTCACCTCATACGAAATGCTATCACCTTGCTTGACCAATCTTCGTCTTCGACTTGCGTGTCTGAAGAAAGTATCATCAGCTTTTACTTGCGAACTGTGGACGTGAGTGAACTGGACGATGTGAATGAACTGGACGCGTTTCACAAACAGTTGGAGAAGGTAATCCACAATGAGAAGTCCTTCTACAAATTTCTTGTTAAAGAACTTAACGTCAGATTAGGAACGATCAACGAAAATCAACATAGGATAGGGAAATTAGGAATAGGAAAACTAAATAAGAATGAAAATCGTCTTGTAGGACTCTTGTCTGCAGTTTGTCTCTTTCATGGAAATTCATTTTTCGAGAACAGAGACGAAAGCCGATGGACATGGGAGTCTCCTAACGGAATGGTTCATGCGGAGATCGATTATACTTTCACAATCGAAAAGAGGACACTGAAACTTGGTCTTATTGTAATACACCTAACATTGCGGATAATAAATGCCAGCCGTAGAACTTTGCAAAAGGACTTACATCGGTATAGACAGAAAAAGTTGTTGGAATCAGCATAGAAAAACCATCCAGTATGAAGAAGTCACGTCAGGATTTTTGCGACTATAATATAACGTTCCCCTAGCCGACCTGATGAACGATGACAGTACTATTACTACATTCTCCATGATATGAAACTGATAACGAAAAACTTCTACACCTGTGGCATTGCTGTGGCAAACATCGATAGAAATAGCTGAGAGACAGGCGAAACAAAGGACCCTCATGGTGTGGTGGTGAACGTGTTATTCCCCGGAAAGAACAATAGCGCGTTCGTTCCCCACCATAGACACCTGCGGTCCAGAGTTTTACAAATATCTCAGCAACGTTGTGGTTAAACTTCTATACCATTATTTTCCGCCTCATAATCTCCGTCTCGGACTCCGAAATACCCACTGGTGAAAAACCGCCCAAGATTATACTCTCTGAAGCTCGAGCTGCGAAAGAAAGCATGAAAAGAGACAGCTCCCGACAATACAATTCCTTCGAACTAGTGGCCACAAATTACGTGTGCTTCTCGCAAGCCGTATGAAATCGTATCTTCAGAAGTAGGAAATCGCAGAGCAGTGGCTGGCCTTGCGCATGGTCATCACACCCGAGAAGGGTGACCGAAAGGATGTTATTAACAACCTTCCAATTTACTTGTTGAGTACACTCAAAAAGATGTTAACTAGGAGGGCAAGCAAGATTCTGAAAAGGATTCTGCCGCATGGAACATAACGGAACCGTATCACGGATCAGAGAAATCTATCGGGAGTACCATCTACTCCTTCTAACCTTTACCGACTATGAAAAAGCGTTTGACAGCTTCGACACAAATGCAATCCGATCAGCACTCGTCGACCTAGGAGAGGACCCGTTCTATACGCGAATACTAGCAGACTGTTACCGTAACTGCGATACAAATATACAGCTTTTTCATCGGCTATACCCATAGGAAACGGGGTTCAACAAGGCGAGACAGTGTCGCCAAAATTGTTTACTGCTGACTGCAGTGGATAACGTCACTCGATTGGTACAACAAAGACAACCGCATTGATGGAAAACTCCTAACAATCCTTCGTTGCCCGGATCACATTATCATCTTTTCGTGGAGTACTATTGAAACACAGATGTCTTCTTAATGATCAATCAAATGCAGCAGCAAAAAAATTGGACTGTGTATAGATAGGACAAAAACCAAGTTTATGAAAAACCCATGGTGAGAAGATGAACAAATAAAAATGGATGGCTGTTTGATTATAGAAACCAAATCGTGTACGTATACCTTGGCCGATCAATAAACATGGAGAACAACGTGAAGGAGGAATTCGACAGAAGAAGGAGAGCAGCATGGGCCGAATTCGAGCCACTCAATGAAGTCACCGATCAACCAGTCGAACCAACACTCCACGCTCTCTATTTCCATTCAACAGTTCTTCCTGCACTTCGTTATGCAGCAGAGACGTGAGTTGTTACTTAACCTCGTCAAGAAAACTGTGCACCACTCACAGAGGGTTTGAACGATGTCTTCTAAAACCTAATCGGCTCTTAAAATGTCATGCCGCAATGCGCAGCTCAGATCTTCAGAACTCGTCCCATCTTCGAGGTCCGGGAGAATATACATCAGTAGCGATGCACAGACGGCCGGTCACATAATAAGAAGAACAAATTGCAGCTGAACGAAAAGAACAGTGAAGCGGACTCCAACAGAATGCAAGCCTCCTCTTGGTAGACCAGCAAAACGATGGGCGGAAGTGTTCGTCGTAACGTCAAAAATCTGCATTCGTAGGTGTCAAAGATTTCAGGATTACAGAATGGCTTTCGCTGACGTCACCATGTTCGAAGCAAACCAACACCACGGACGATTGCGCGAGAGAGAAAATAACGGGAATTTCGTTCGAATTTAAGAAAGAAGCATCCGCAAAACCAGTGAAGACAGGTCGTCTAAATATACAAGTAATTAGGATTACGACTGCAGCTTCAGCTTAACTAGGGATTCACCATCTAATCATTATGATGGTTCCTTACGATATTAAACTTCATGCGCGATCACAGCAAAGAAATTTTAGTGCATTCGTCACCAGTAACAGTATGTTATACTTTTTGTATATTTACCTATTTCTCAGAAAATATACAGAGTGTAAAATACTGTCTATTTACGTTATAACCCTTGTAAACTAAGAAAACCCTGCAAAAATCGTATAGCCAAACTAATATCTCAGGAAAGGTATGTTTTGTCAATTCAAAGTCCAGAACAGTTTTTGTTTCTTTGAATTATTGTTGGTAGAA